CCACTCGGCTCGCATCCATTTACTCTTTTTAATTAATTAATTTCGTGACATTAGTCACCGTTTTCTGCCTCTCCTCATCCTCCTCCGCCTCATCCCTTGTATCCTTGACAAATGCGACCGTCTAGTTGCACGCCTACAGCTGGAACTTTTTCACGCTCATTTGTTATCCAGTATATTTACTCAAAAACTTTTCTCCTCTCCACTAAACGTATTTCTCTTAGCCGTTAATTGCCTCTCTACGCATTTACAAATCGAACAAGATATTTATTTATCCCATTTGTCTCTAATTAACTCTCATCAACTCAACGACGTCTGCTTTTTTAAAACCCTCAACGAGAAGGCACCTTGAACTTCTTCAGCCACCTTCAATTTACAAAAAAATAAATGTATATTACACAATTACAACAATTTAGAACGAGTTTAAAATACTTACAGAAATAATACTTTCATTCAAAATAATTTATTAATTGTTGGATTCACTAAATCTCATAGTATTCTTCAGAACAATTGTTTCAAAATATGCAACGGGCCACATAGAATCAATAGGCCCTAATTTTCCTCATCATTACCTTAGACTAATGGGATATAAACAAAACTGTTAATTGAGATTAAATCAAAACTATTAATATTAGCTTAATGAATTACAATTTTGTTGAAATTCTATCAGTCTTGTGTGAATCTTCTTGTTGTTTATTTAGAACTTTTAAAGATGTGAGAGGGACAAAAAACATTACATAATGTAAAACCTATTTTTCTTATGTTCAAAATACAAACGAATTTCTCTTTATAATTGATAATAATCATTTAATATAGTTTCGTGTGAAAGTTAAAAAAATACAACTTTAAGCTACAAACACTTTGGATATAATTCTTTTTTTTTTAAATCAGGTACCCTTTGAGGAAAACAAAAACGGACAAATTAAAAAATTGATTGTAAAAAGGCACAAGAATATTTCTGGAAACTTGTTTCAAAATAAAAGCTGCTTTCATCAGCGAGAAAAGTATAAAATTGTAAAGCGAGCTCAGAGGGACTAAACTTCCTTTGTTGCTAGCGGCGTCATCCTCGGAAGAATTCACTACAGACGAAACGCCCTAGGCTATTTGTTTTATACAGGAGTGCCATAGAAATTCTTTTTGAACACACACTTTCAATATCTGAATTATCTCGTTATGATGTAATGGTTTCATATTGAAGAAATATTAATATTTCTACATACAAATAATAATAGTAATATATGTGATTAAAACTGATTAATATGTGATTAAAACAAATATGTTTTGGTAATTGATATTGAACATTAGAGGGAATTAATTCTAGTATGTTATTCAAGTAAAACTGTTTGGTCTCTTTACAGTTTCATTTGTAAATTAGAGCCTTTGACACAATTGATATTGCTACGAGTGTTACAAGGGTTAACGTAATTTTCATTTCCGAACAGGGCAACCCCTTTTAATCGATTAGTCTTGGGTCGAAGTAATTAAAACGGTCTAGTTTTTGAATGAATTGTTTTCCTCGGTTTACCTAATTTCATTCAACTAATCTTCTTGAATCGACGTTTTCATTTCACCCAATAAATTTGTTTTCTCTTTACTACAATCTTTTGTATAAACTACAAATAAATAAATTATCGTAATAAAAACATTGAATTTATAGACATAATTTATTATACATTTAATGAAAATATAATAATTATAACTCTCAATATACGTGGAGTAACAAATGTTCGTTTAGTTGGCGTTAATACATTTGTTTCTGAAAAAACAAAAGTTGTTTCTTAATTTATTGATATTTTATGTTAAATTTCAAGAGGATCGGTAAGAATGGATAGGAGAAAATGCAAGATTAGTGATGTAATGTTGCTAGAAATTTCACCACCAAAACTGCAAAAATTTGTTTTGCCGTTCTCTCAAGTTATGCAATTTTTCCAGGAATGCCAAAATGCAAATGAAGTGAATGAATCATCCCTTAAGACCATTTCCAAGTGGTTTTGATGATTCCAAAAAGCACATTTTTCTCTTGAAGACGAATCTCGTGATGGTTGCCCGAAATCTTTCAGCGACGACACAAATGTAGACCTGGTAAAAGCAAAAATTGACGAAGATCCAATAATAACACAGGAAATGGTAGGTGATGAACTAGGTAACTCACTCACACTGCTGAAAAAACCAACAACTTTCTTGTGCTCTCTGGCATCAATGACATTCGCTCAGCACCCTAAATTGACGTTATCTAGAACGGTGTGATTTCTGGCTGTTTCCGAAAATAATGAAAATTTGAGTGAAAGAGTCTTCAGTTCGAATGAGGAAATCATTAATGCAGTTAATGTCGAACTTGAAAATATCCAAAAAGCCAATTTTGAGAAATGTTTGGAAACCCAGACTTAAGAAATGTATTAAAATAAATGGAGATTATGTTGAGAAATTACAAAAGGATGAAAATTAAATATATTAAAATAAAATTGTTTTTTATTTGTTTTTTTCCAGCCATCGTAATATTCGATAATAAACACAGAATACATTTATTTTAACGTATTTCATTATATTTAATTAAAAATCTGTAGGAAACTTTATTAATATATTATTACTCGAACAAGTTAATTGAACAAACTCAAATCGAACAAAAACGCGTAATGAACAATGAAATTGGATACTTTCATAGCAAAACACTACGCTTTATATTATCAATAAATATTTTTGTTACAATACGCACAGTATGTACCAATTTAATTGAATGTATTTACGTACAAAATCGTTATTTAGTTTATGAACGTACAATAAAGAGAAATACTTGAATACAATACACGCAGCTTTGAAATTCTAGTTGTATTTATTTGTAGAAAGGACTATCAACAAAATAATTCTGACAAAATAATATATTTTTTAGTTATTTTGTATAAAATGTTATTTTTTTATTGGCCTTTTAGATGATACAAAATATTGACATTTGATGAAAAATGAGCAGCAAGAATAAAAATAATATTTATCACCTTTATTCGTTATTATTTATGAAAATTGTTGCTATAAATATTGTTTTTATTATGTAATCATAAATATGAAATAATAATGATTGCAAATGGAAAAACCGATTGAAAAATGTTAACTAATATTTTCTAAATGATGCGGTGTGTTTCGGAGATAGCACTCTTTTAATAGATGTTTTTATGCTTTGTTTCAATTGGAAGCGAGATGGCGCAGAGAAAGACGAAATTTATAGGAGAAAATTGCAAAATCAATAATATACCGATAGAGAGATAGAGGCGCGGTGCGGTGAGTGTAGTATGTTGGTTGAAGCGACGAGAAATAAGGGAATATAACATTGCGGAGATGGAAAAAGATATGTATTTTTATGTAGTCAAAGCAGCGGCACCGCAACATGTCGTGTTATTACAGAATTCTAAAGTGGGCCCTAATAACTGGGGTGAACGATAAGAGGGGGGTTGCCGCCATCCCCTATTTTAAATATTAAATAAACATGACGATATTGCATTTGCTGGTATCGGGGAAAAGTCTAGAAATATCAGTTTCACGTATTTGCCTAATATAAAAAAGAAGAAACCAAAACCAAAACAAACGTGCACCAACTTTTATTCCTTTTCCTCCATATTTCCATTAGGAGAGTACGCAGGGAATTTGTAATTAGTACTCGGGCACGGCACATAAACACAGTCATTCCAACAATGTTTTTTAATTAAGGATAAAAAAAAAATCTGGCAATGCGCTATAAAAAGGTTTGGAATTTAATTTTTATGCAGACTTACTTATCTTAATTACCTGCAGCCTTTCTGCAGGAAAGGAAGCACACTAATATACGAAATTTTCTTCTCTGCTTATTTACAAAAAAAAAAAAGAACACTCAGAAATATACATTTGTTGTGAATGCGATGATTTTTTTTTCTTCTCCTCGCATTTTCTCTCCTATTTTTTTTGTTGGCATTCCGTATACTTGGTAATTACTTTTACGCTTTTCTTTTATCCTTAATGTAAGCAATTATTTAACTCAATGTAAAGAAACTTAATTACTTTTTACTATACAACTCACGGACCGCCTGAGAAATTGTTGGACCCTGGCGCAACCGGCACAATTCCAGCCCGCAGACACTCCAAAATTAACACACAACAATCTTGAGAGGAAAAAAATGCGGCATATCGTGAAAATCGCTGATGCAGAAACTTACTTTACTTATCTCAATTTCATTCATAAAAGTAACGTAATGAAATAAAAATTAAAGTGCATCATTTCAAATTACTTTTATATAACTTCTTAATTTATAGTATTTTGTAATTTGATATTATTATTTTATAAATATTTAAATAATTTAGGTCGATTATTAACAAAATTTGAACCGGTTTTTGACCTGTAAAGGGAATTTACAAAGCTTATAACATACATTTATTTTCCATAATTAAAAAGTTTAAAAAATATTTTTCATAATTATTTTCAATTATTTGTAAAAAAAAAGTTTAATTGTAAAACATAAATATAAATATCTAAGTAAAACTTGGCCACTTTGATTAATGTGCTGGAAGGAGCGCAATGTAAAACACAGTACTTTTACTAAAAATCTAAAACTTAGCCATACATTTAAATTATGTTTTTATTAAGCCGTCCAAATTTTGAACAATTTGTTAGTAAATTATAGGTAGTATTATTATTTAACATTTTTTTATTGTAAATGAACGTTTAAATAACATACAGTTTTCTAGTTATATGTGTTAAAATATGTTAAGCCATTAGTGAACGATAATTCTCGGAATAATATTGTAATGATAATGTGATTTAATCCTCGGGACAAAGTTGGTTTCACAGTCGCAGACGTTCGACGAGGGTTTGCGAAGACGATAATAAATTAATCATTTTGCTCTAATGTGCTAACATTTATATAATCGAGGATTATTAGATTGCGCCGATTACATCACCCTCGGCACACCATTATGATATTCATTTGATCGTTTGGGTCCGGTTACAGTAGCATTAATCAGAGCAAGCTTTGATTATCAAATTACAGCATTCTTCCTAAAGCATCTGACTTTAAAGGATCGTATATTCGCAAAGGCATATACAAGAAATCCAATTCCCTGGCAAGCTTAACGCCAAGTAAGAACAAAGCCGCCGCCGCCAATATTTTCTTCGTGTAAGGATGTTTCAGCATATCCATAAACATTGCATTCAAATCTAAATCTTCTCCTTCACCTTCCACGAAACTATACGAATCGCTAATTATACTGTCGTTTCTTTGCTTCTGACTTTGCGTGGCGGCTGGATCTCCTGCTTTAGCAGACTTAGAAGGACTTGTTGTTGGTGCTCCTTGAGCTGTTGCACCATCATGCGCGGTAGATCCTCCAGACCTTACAGACCCCCCAGATTTTCCAGACACTCCAGATCGATTGCTACCGACGGATGTTGCTGCTGCTCCATCTCCAGCAGATTTTGTTTCTGATATTCCACCTGCTGATTTGGTGGTGGGTACACTTGCCGCAGATTGTGCAGGCGGGACAACAGCACTTGGTTTTGCTGCTGGTGAAGTTTCAGGTTCGTGTGCTGTTGGAGGTGCACTTACAGATTCGTGTGCTGGTGGAGGTGCACTTGCAGCTGCAGCAGCCGCAGCTTCGTCTTTTCTCTTTTGTATAGCAGCTTTCGCCTGAGGACTTAAACCTCTGCAATATTCCTTGCAAGCAGGCTCGAATGAATTGAAACTCATGATTACTGAATAATTTTGATTGATGATCAAATGACAACTAGAATATATATTTTTGTTTATCAAAAATCGAATGTCACGTAATGATAGACAAGACAGACAACACATTAGCATAACAATCTATGTCCAAATTATAATACTTATACCAAATTATTTGAAAATAAAGTAAGAAGGCAGAAATGAAAACTAATTAACTTAACTAAGACTTACCTATAGATTCCAGACAAGAATACGTGAATCACATTTTATATTTATTTTGTTAAATAATTAAAATATTTTCACATTAAAATTTGTCTCATTTAATTCATTTAAAATATATGTACTATAAATAATAACTATAAAAATGTATATAAAGCGCAATTACTTTCATAGAATCATTATATTTAAATAAAATATACAAAAACTTGTTACAAAACATATTTAAATCTAATGCAAAATAAGATCTTTAACAATATTTAAAACAAATTCTACATCTGTTATACATTCATTTATTAGTTTATGATTTCAATTTAGTGAAGAGCATCTAGCGTAGTAGATGAATAGATTAGGATTTTCGATTTTCTTCCCGGGAAATATAATAAAAAAATCCGGGAAAAATTGTATTATGTACTTTTATTTTATCAATAAATAGATAATTTTATTTTGTAATTGAAATATAAAACATGTATTAAACAAATAAATACTTATATATTATGTGTAAACGAAAGCTTTGACTGTTGGTTATTGATTTTGTAAAAATATTCCAATTGACGTTATTATGTTATATAAACGTGAGTTGTGCGTCTATTAATATTGTCCGACTATCTAGAAATTATCTGAATTATTAACGTTTACGCTGTAAATGCTTTGATAACTATTACATATACTTTATTGATGAAGCAAGATACTAGAGTCATTGCTTACAAACTACGATATTAATACTAAATCGTGCTCATCACTTATATAACCGTATTGATTGAGATTACTTCCATTCAGTGCAACGTTAATTTGCATGAAACGTCCCCGTTGCGCATTTACAACGCGTCCTTCGTTTGGTCCGGCTTTTAACTATACTGCCGACTTTTTGTATGTGTGTGTGCGTGTGTTCATTCCAGGATGTCAGGATTTAAAATGTGTATCTGCAAAATATAAATCACATAAATGGAAGCCTGCTGGAAGGACGCGATCCTGGCCATGTTTTTTCTTCTTTATTTCTGCCTCTCCCTCTTTCCTAGTCCTCTTTCTCCCAAATACACAGCAGCGAAGTTAGCGAGAAAAAAGTGTATACATTAAGGGACGCCGATAAGGCAGAGAGTTGATGCGTTTACGATTGTAAATATCTATCTTTTTGCCGTGTTCTTCGTTCCGAACAACTTTTCGTTCCGTCCTTTCCGTTTTCATCCTTCCTTCATTTAATCGGCAACACAACACCAGGACCCGCCTCATGCAAATGCTGCCAAGCATTTCCATTTATTGGATTTATTTGTTATACGCTCCAATTGTGTATACAATATTGAATATGCAACGATTCTCCCTGCATATCTGATTATAAATCTTAGTATAACATCCGCGTATAAATCATACTTCACTATCTCTCTCTCTCTGCTTCGCATTACATCTAGTCCTTATAATATTTGTAGTTCAATCTGTATTGATTATCCAGGAAAATGTATTCTCGGTTGATGGTCCATCTGAAAGCAACAAATAATTCAATTAATTATTGCTTTTTCTCAATCAAAAAATACACATCAATAATATATTTATTTCTTAAATTATTAATTTCAACTAATTATCTAAAAATAATTTTTATCCTTTGTACATATTTAGTTCAAAAATGTTCATTCAATGTTTTTAAATTTTTTGTAATCTATATTTTTATTGCGGTATTAAAGTCCGGTTTCAAACAGGATATTGTCGAATCCGATTAAGCGCACTATGTAATGCATTTTTTAGTTATTATTCTATATTGTATAATTACACTATTTTCCTATGAGAGTATTATCAAGGATGCTTCCTGTATGTTATGCAATTTGTTTTTTTTGTTGTTGCAAGAACTCCGGAAATAAATCAGCAGGCGTTGTTCGTTTTGCAGTTAATCCTTGAATGCGGCTGACTATATCTATATATAAATCAAAAGCGTGGAAAAGGTCCTGAATATCAAACAATGAAATACACTCGACGGGGGGGGGGGGTGTGAAACCAAGGAATGATCAAAGCCAGTTTGCTTGGAGAGAAATTGCTGCAGATAAAAAAAATAAATATATAGCCGCAGCCAGTGCTTCCAAATTATAAGTCAATTTAGAAACGACAAAAACAAATACCACAAAATACATAATTCACACACTTAATATCAGTGTTTTTAAACCTTCTAAAACCATTCTCCAAGAGATTTGTAAGTTGTTCACAGACAAGGATACTGAAGAAGAAATTGTTTTGAACAATCCTAGAAAATGAAATTGCATTGAGAGCGAGTTTCGAACTGGTGCGGATCGTTCTGTTAAAATTAAATTATAATGATTATGTAATAATAATCCAATTATTTCATGCAATAGAAATTAATATAATGATCGTAAATGCAGCGTGTTTGCACTATTTGAATTGGTAAATACGGGTTAGCTAAACCAAAATATACAAATTGTTTAATATTTGCTGAATACGATGCTCAAATATTTGTGGTTTTGGAACAAATTAAAATGTGGAAATTAAAATGTTGACGTTCAAATGTGGTCACAATGTGGACACATATAAATTGTGTAAAATTTAACCACAGTTTCATACAACATACCAATGCACCGTATCAATATTGTATATTTATAAACTATTAATTATTATAGTTTTTAGTAATTTTAAGCCTTTGCTTTTTGATATTTCACTAAAAATTAAAGAAGTTTTCTCTTTACATTCTAATGTATCTTTCCAAAGTTGTTAATAGATACTTTGTTCTAAGAGGAGGAATTTTTGTATAAATAAAGAATATTATGTATATTTTTTTAATTATTTTGTACTGAAATTTTCAAACTAGATTGTAGTGAATGTTTGAATCCGGACTATGCGAGGTATAGTTGTACATACTTCTTACTGATACCTGAAGTTAACAAGTTATTTGAATTATTTCTAAAAATATTTTGAACTTCAAGTTTATAGAACATTCCAACCAAGAATCTGTTAGTAAGATCCTTAAACTTCATCAAACAGGACCACCTTAGACTTTGGAATATTAAATAAGCCCTGTAAGAAACTTTACTAATAGAAATATCAATAACTTAAAATGCGTAATATACTTTCAAGAAAATTGAAATTGCCTCATAATAATTTCTTTAAATTGAATTGAAACAGAAACATACTGTAAGCTAGTGGATATGTCAGTTTTCATCATGATTTGGTGGTTGATAGTTCTGTCTCTTTGCTTTCCGTTAACAAAAGCTGAAACATATTTCAACGAGAAATGTCCAGTGAATTTTAAGAGAAATATATCAAATACGTTTTTGAGAAATGTAAATAGAAACATTAATATTTAACTAAATGTTGACTAATTTATATTATAGAATATGCTTGAGATCAAGTACATTTTTACGGATGTTACTAATTTTGACAATAACTTTATAAAGATTAACAGAACAATGATTTATGGATATATCCAAGATGATTTTCTTGAATTTCAAATATATTGTTATGAAAATTACTTTAAAGTAAACATGTACATTACCACAAAGATTCGACTGACGAAAATTGTCAATGAGGAATATTTAGGGTTACAATACTTGCAGCTTAGTAGAGAAAACATGGATTTTCATATGAACAGTGAGTAAAATCCTTTAACAGCAAAAGTCGGCAAACTATGACTTGCGAGTCACATGCAGCTCTTTGACTCTTACATCTACATATGGGCTGTAGCTCACGAAATTGTGCTTGAAACGAGCTAAGTGAAGGGAGAGAAAAAGTCTCAAAAGTTGAAAATGAAGACAAAAAATATTGAACAATTTTTACTCTTTCATATCAAAAGTTTGCCGATAGTTTGCTAATACAATACTAATTAATTAGAAGATTTGTTTTATTTCAGGCGATGAAATTTTATACTCAATTTTAACGTTGTACACTGTACCAAACTATTTTATTTTATCCAATTGTACTATGATAAATGCGACCGCCACCAAACGTAATTCGAATATAATAATTTAAATTTATTTGTATTGATATTAATTTTGTTTTAGAACACTTCTTCATATTTGTTGAAGAACTGAATAATCAATATAACCTTTCGCAACGTGTATTTGCAACATTGGGATTGAATACTCCCGTATATTTCTACGATTTATTCTATGATAACAAATCAACTTGTCAATATCATAGTATTCTCGAGGCAAAAAATAGTGCAGAGTATTTCTACACGAATTCTTTATCAATTGTAATTTGCAACATCATAATTCAGTTTATTATATAAATTGTCTTAATTTTGTTTACGTACACGGCAATTTCTTATATTATGCACATTTTTATTGCAACATATTCGATTTTAGGCTTTTAAAACTTTTATATTTATTGAATGCAAATTGATGATTTTTCAGTAGAAAATTTATATAATTTTGACAAAGAAAATGAAGACGAAATTGAAGAATTTCCTATCGAAAAAAAATGTTAACAATTTATGAAGTAATGCTTAAATGACATTAAAAAGGTTTGTTTTTTAATTGAATAAATAAGATAATAAGAAATTGTTAATGAAAGATAGAAAAATCCCAACGTTTGATTTTACTTTGTGTGTAATTTTAATGTTTATTGAATAAAACTTTTTAAAATTATTTTTCATGGATTCAGTATTATTATAATCAAATTTGAAATGCAATTAAAAAATTGTAAACTTATTATGCTTTTTCATATATAAAGTTCAATAAACAGAATGCAATCTTTTTTTTTTTTGTAACTTTGTACAGTTTAGAGTTTCACGATATACCAAAGTCCTTAAATGTAATCGACATTGTTGGAGAACTTTGGAGATGTTATAAATAATTGTTCGGAAGTGGAAC